TAAATGTTAAACAGTTCGGGTTCCAAAAAGGTGTTAGCACTTGTGATGCCATGTATGAATTGATATCTAATATAAAAAACAGTATTGAGAATGAAAATAAAAATATAATTGTATTTATCGACCTCGCGAAAGCTTTTGACTTCCTCACAAGCAACTACTAAATGTTCTTGAACATTATGGCATTCGAGGATTGGTTTTAAAGATTTTTGAAAACTACCTACCGAGAGAACACAAGATAGTTAAAATTAGAAATGAATTTAGTAATCCTGTTAATATTCAAATAGGTGTGCCACAAGGAACTGTCCTTGGTCCAATTCTTTTTATCATCTATATCAACTCTCTTTTAAACTTAGATATAAATGGTATAGCAATATCCTATGCAGATGACACCGTATTAATGTTTGAAGGTAAAACCTGGGAGGCTGTAAAATCAAAAGTGGTTAAAGGGGTAAGAATTATGAAAGACTGGTTGGATTATAATAAACTATCTTTAAATAATAATAATACTCTCCCTAATTCACCCCCTTACGAGTGAATTTTAACCCCAAAAGCTGAGCTTGTGCGGGGAAAGGGACGGCTATTATTATTATTATTATTATTATTTGCCGTGTCGCTCCGGGGCGACTTAAAGATGATTGATGGTGTCATTTGACTTACAGGTGAGGAAAACCCGGAAAACCTCACCCATCATCATCGGGACGGTAATGTAAGCGATTTTTTATAATCTGTATGTCATATCAACAGAAATTGAATTTCTATTAATACGACACACATCAAATCCTATACCGAAAACAGTATATATGGCATTTTCAGTCACAAATGCTAACAGGCCCAACTTCAAACAGATTTGTATTGGAGAATCTAAATTCATCATCAAAGAAAATGCCAAATATTTGGGAATAATAGTTGACAAAAATCTTAAATGGACTGATCATGTTCGGTACTTAACAAACAAAATAAAAAAACTTTAATTCGTAACATTCTAAATAAAAAGTTATTACACTTGATATGTATTGCTCTCATTGAATCCTTAATTAGATATGGCATAATTGTGTGACAATGCCCTACATCCTTTAAGTATCATTCAAAATTATATCTTAAAGATAATAAATCATAAAAGTCGTTTGTTTTCAACAACCCACTCCAAACGTAAGATCACTATACTTTCACTCTAGCTATATGTTCTATTTCAAACTGAAAAATATAAATTTTGTAAACCACTTATATGACCCGAAAACAAAAGAGAAGAATTCTAAATGTACCATTCTTTAAATATGATGGAAATAAAAGATTCATTTCTTCAATTGGGCCAAAAGTATACAACTCTTTAAGTGAAAATATCAGACAAATAAAAAACATAAAAACCTTTTCTAAAACGATCAGAAAATTTATATTTGATAAATATATATACCTCTCAAATTTGATATAAATACCTAGTTTAGTTTATAGGTATTGTTAATGTTATGTAGTTTTAATCTATTTCTATTGCACATACAGATGTTTTTGCATCTAGGTTCATATTTTAAGAATAATTTCTCATTGTAAATTTATTTGATTTTGTATTATAAAATGTTTATTCTTCTTAAATATATAGGGTGATTATAAATGCAGACAGAAGTTAACACAAAAAGAGAAAATAATAGACCCTCTATAGTCTATAGGATGTCAAGTACTGATGTCAAAATCTTGTAGGGAAGGTTAGACCATTCAAGGCTGGGAGTCAAAAACAATCAAGAGTAGTTTAAAGGGAAGTCTGAAAGAATGAAAAAAGACGTAAACTCACGTAGTTCTATACAGGCTGTCCCATTAGTGCATAATTGCTTGATATTTCATTTTGTATTATAGACATATGTTTTGAATAAAAGTTATGTGGATTTGAAAAAAATATAATTTAAAAACATATTTGGATATACAGGGTGTTACGCTTTTGCCTGGAAAGTAGAAACATGTTTTTAAATGGAACACCTTGTATTTTATTTCAGTTTCAGAGTGTATTTATCACTAGAATATTTTTCAACTTAAAAGGGCCAAGCTGTGATGGAAGAATTGGTCCATTTTATAGTGTTTTAATTAAAGGGTGCCCCATCAGTGGGTAATTGATCGATAGATATTTTATTATTAGAGATATGAAGAAATGTTTAATATAAAAGTTGTAAGACCATATTTTGAAATTATTCTTAAATATACATGGTAGTTTATAAATGAGGGGAAACCAAACATATAGTTTTTTAAACCAAACACCTTGTAGGTAGTTACGCCTTACAGATTTGGTTGTTTTCACATTGTTTTATAATTTTAATCGACTAAACGTTCCTAAAAAGGTTTAAACATTTTCATTTATTTGCTGTGATGCATATAGGGTATGTCTAAACTTGAAGGTACAATATTCTCAATTTTTTCATATACAGTATGTCGCTAATGTATGGAATAAATTCATTATTTCTAAAATAATCGACTTTTGAAAAAAATCCAAAAACAGGTCAATTTTAATTTTTGAATCGTCATCACATGATGTAGATGTAACCAAAACAGTTTTGGTCGACCCTGTAGAAATAAATATTCAAATAATTACATCGTTGTAAAGACGATTAGAAGACCTTTCCAATGAGGTGTTTTGAGACACATGGTTGCATTTAAAAAAATTGCCGATTACGTCACCACGGTAATACTGGTGACGTATGTTCGTTACATCTACATCATGTGATGACGATTCAAAAATTAAAATTGACCTGTTTTTGGATTTTTTTCAAAAGTCGATTATTTTAGAAATAATGAATTTATTCCATACATTAGCGACATACTGTATATCCTGTGTGTTATACCACCAATTTATAAATTAATTTCTTTTTTATTTTGTTTGATATTCTATTCCCAAACCAATTTTTTCTCAAGATTTTGACAGTTTTACCATGAAAATTGTTTTAATTGGCTTTTGAAAATATAGACTTATTTAGGGTAAAATGCTAATGTACTTTTTGGTAACTCATTTGTTAGAATTAATTAATGGTGTTTTATTTCTTCGACGTTACAATATGAACCATTGTAAATAAAATTTAAAAATCAGCTTAGGCTCAAGAAAGCCAAACAAAATAAAAAGTAAAGAAACTAAATTATTAGTTAATTAATTTTGTGGTGTAACAACATACAATCTATTAAAATTGTTTGACGATGTGGGAACAAATAAATTTGTTATACAATGGGGGTTTGTTTTAAAACAATATAAGTTTTTCCACCACTCATGAACTTTCCTGTATACTTGGGAATAATTTTGAAATGTGGTTGTACAGCTTAAAAACGTATCTTTAATAATAAAACAGCTATCGGTCAATTACGCACTGATGAGGCTGTATGTATAATAGGTTAACATGATGGTATCGTTAGATAGGTAAATTTATAATGAATTTAATGCTAAAACGATTCAAATTGGATAAAATGAAATTAAAATGAGCCATATTTATGAGATGTTTCAAAACTGTCTATAAAATAAACTAGTTCTATCATGTCTATTTATTAGTTTGGTATCTTATAAGCCTGTATTTTAAATAATGTTCAACTCATTGATAAATTCTAATAATTTTATTTGGGATTGTATCATTTTATATCACAAAAAATTAATTGCTTGACAACCCTGTAATACTTTTTAAAACTATTCTAGGGTTTAATAAAGTAATAATTCTAAAACAGATTATATATATTTTTACTTACCAAGCAAAAGCGTAACACACTGTATATCCAAAAATATTTTTTTATTGTGTTTATCAAATCCATATATTGAAATATCGAGCAATTAGGTACATTAATTAGAACCCGTTAAAGCCTTCCTATGTTAAATTCACAAACATAATAACAAAACCAAATTCATAATATACTAATTTAAGAGCGTTTTCACATGCCTACGGGGTTATACAGACAATTCACTGCATAGCGGCTTGTCTACATTCATCGAAGCATACATCTCGAAATGACGTTACAAAACGTCATGGGCATGGGGAAAGAACTATCAAGACGTTAATGAACGTCATGGGCAGCGAAAGTATTAAAAGTTACATAAACAATTATAAATAATGTATGAGTAAATCGATTTAAACATAAAATAAAAATATGAAACATTAGATACAGGTATTGTAATTATATTTTATTTTTTTTATTAAAACAAAAATTTAAAACTGCGAAAATATTTTTTTTTTTCGTGATAGTAGAATAAAGTGCTTGTCTACAACATATCATTTTTGTATTATAAATAAATTATTTTGCCGGTTGAGTTCAGCTGATAGAAAGATTTTATTATGTAAAGTTAAATTATCTATATAAATTAATAGTGTTTGAGATAAGATACAGTAAAATAAATTAACATAATAGTATAAATAAATTAGATTAATAAACTGTTAAAATAAATAAATGTTATAATATATTTTATAATATGAAAAATTTCATTAAAAACAAAATGTAGTTGTACCGAATTTTGATAATTCAAGCTAATGCTATTTTAGCGTGATATTAATTTGAAATAAAAATTAAATTTCGATTTTCAATAATTTTTGACTCACCCTGTAACTAATAATAATTTGGGTCATACTGGAAATATTGTTTAATATTAATAAAACATTCTCAAAAAAATATGGGTAATAGAAGTTTGTTAAGAGGTACCTCCTTTTAAAAAAATTATAAATTTGCAACTTCAGCACCCTGTAGGTATATCTTAAACAACTAGTAGGATTGAGTTATTTCCTTAAAGTCGATAACTAAAAGTTTGTGACCATTTCAGTGAAGCCTATTTCTATATAATCGGCTGCCTGGTCTTTTGAAATTTAATTTTTATAGTTTTTATTTGTAGTAATTTTACTTTTAGGTTTTAAATTTTTTGTAATATCCGTTTATTTTTACAAATTTATGATATTTGATAGTTTCCTGTGATTTTTAATTAAAATAAATTACTGTTTTTATCATAATACTCCTTAAAACTACTTTATAATATCGTATAACTTAAAACATTATTTTAGATTCATTAGGTGGAAATAGTATTACGCTGATGATAGCCTGTATTAGCCCTGCAGACTACAATCTTGAAGAAACTGTATCCACTTTAAGATACGCAGATAGAGCTAAAAAAATAAAGAACAAGCCTGTAATTAATCAAGATCCCAAATCCGCCGAGATCAATTCTTTGAAAAAAACAATACAGCAATTAAGACTGCAAATTATAGGCCAAGGTAAATTGATTTTTTTAAATGATTAAAATATAATCATGTAATCCGCTATATACAAGCAGTAGTCGTCCCAGAATTGAACCCTGCGGTACTCCCTTTGTGATTAGTCTAGAGCTTGACATTTTATTATCCACAGACACATATTGACATCGATTAGAAAGATATTATAAATTGATCATCGAAAAAACAGATAAACATAGGGCTATTTATTAATTTGAACACACATGTTTAGCACCGATTTTAGATTGATTAATTATTTAGCTTTGTTATTATTGAGTTTTTCAAAAAAATGTTTATTTTAACAACTTCTATAAACAGTTAAAAAAGTATAAACTTAGAATTCACCCAGTTCCTTAATGACATGCGAATATTTCAGGGTATTAATGATAGTTTGCTTTATACTCGTAAGAGGTGTGCTTACAGGAACTTACAGTTCAATATTAAAAAAAAATTGTACGCCATTTTTTTTTTTAAATAAAAATTATTTTTCAATTTCTCGTTCAATTTGAAATATGATTGTTCTTTTGAGTTGTTTTCCTGCGATACGCCGCTTTTTTAAATTTTTCAACAAATGTTCCTGGTTATTAGGTGGGCCAGTAGTGGCGCCAGCTGAGCTAAGTTCCCTGCAAAAAGAAGTCGTCGAACTAAAAACCAGGAAAAGAGACCTCAGCCTTCAACTATCGGCAGCGCTTATGAACAATACCGGTCTTCATGAAAAAATCATAATCCTTCAAAACTCTAACGACATTCTAAATGGAAAACTATTGGCTCTTAAAGACCATTTTGACATCACTTTGAGTAACATAACAATGGGAATCGATACTAACAACATGGATTTGTTGAAGGAGAATCTTGATGGTCTGCAACAGGTTAAAAATCAATTTGAAGAAATTAATTTAGAACAGAAAAGGACTGAAGAGGAAATTAAGTAAGTAATTAATTTTTTTTATTAAACCCAGAAGGGTATCTAATAATTATAGTGACCGGTTTCGGCTATACAAATTTAACAGCTGATAAAAATATTAAGTTTTAAAAGTTATATTGTATTAACTTAATATTTTTTCAACAGTTAGATTTTTGAGTTTCATTTGTCTCATTTTTTTATTATTTGGTGAGATAATGCAATTTCAGTATTAGAAATCCAAACAATTGTCTTCTAAATTTTTCTAGTACACATGATATTAACAAACACATAACCAAGGATGCAGCGACCAATGGAGATCAAGATGAAATAGAAGAGCAACAAGAATGCCACGCCGATAGGCAATTCAAATTAAATGTTCAAATAACGGAAATCGAACGGGAGTTAAACATGAAGGAAAATTTAGCAAAAGAACTGCTTAACAACAATCAGTATTTCATCGATCCACAAGTAATTTTTTTCATTATGTATTACAACTTTTTGAGACAATAAATAATAATTTTATCAATTTTCAAGTTTAGCTGTCACAGTTTAAGTATAATTTCTATAATACCTTTTAGGCCATGGCAGAAAACGAAATGAAGATTACACAATTAGAGCGCGAAAAGGATGAATTGTTACAGATCTTGAAAAACGTCGAACATTCTGGAAAACTGTCTGAAAATAGACGAAAACGTGTTCAAGACCTTGAGCAACAAATAAAAGATCTAAAGAAAAAGGTATGTTGAAAGTATATGTATATGTTAAATGTGTTGTTTTTTGAGAATTAATTTGAAAGTATTTTTTTTATTTCATGCTAAACTTTTTGTTTGGAATTTATGAAAAAATCATAATCGTTCCAACATATATTTGGTCAGACTCGTAAATTTCGCAATCCATTGCTGAAAAGAGTCATAAAATCACTGGCTTATTTTGTTTAATTCTGCATAGGCCCATCTGTAATCTTAGTTCCATTCCAAAGTTGTTTGAAAAGATAGTAGCTGATTACTTAAGATCTCAATTAAGTTTATCAATAATAGAAGAACAATTTGGGTTTCTTAACAAAAATCTACAGAACTGAATTTACTTGCTTTTGTTGACTATCTGTCAATGGAGGCGTTCGACAGGGTCAATCACAAACTTTTGTTAAATAAACTGGAGACTGCTGGGATCATGGGAACATTATTGCAATGGCTGGCGAGTTATTTAGCTGAAAGATTTCAAACTGTTAAATTTATTAATTACAGATCTAAAATTTTTTATTATTTATAAATGATATCTCAGAATGTTTCAAGTTTGCCAAATGTTTATGCTTTTCTGATGACCTAAATTGCTACCTATCAGTTTCATCTCTTGAGGATTGTCTCAAACTTCAGTCTGATTTGGCTAGGCTTGGTGAGTGGTGTGTGAATAATGCTATGGACCTAAACACTAAGTGTCACTTGATATCCTTTACTAGGAAAATCAACAGAATTGATTATCAATATAATATCAAGGATACACCAGTGTTCCAAGTTGCATCCATTCGAGATCTGGGTGTTATTATGGACTCCACGCTCTCATTTGTCAATTACATTGACACAATAGTATCCAGTGTACTTGGTATGCTTGGGTTTATAAAGAGAAACACCTCAGACTACAAGTATTAATGCTATTAGGTTATACCGTAGTCTTGTTAGGCCTCTGCTAGAATATTGCTCTTCAGTCTGGAACCCCCCAGTATACTCGTCAATTCATAGATTAGATCAGTTTCAGAGAAAATAATCTTGATACTTAGCATTTAAATCAAATATTCCATGGATAGATGACTATTCCTATGATTTTGCAGCACTGCAAGAAACATTCTCTTTACCAACTTTGAGAATAAGAGATCAGGCAGATCTGAAATTATGTTTTAAGCTCATTAATTATATAGTTGAGTGCCCTGCGCTACATTGATTTCAAACATGTTGTTGGCACAAGAAGCATAAGATCAATAAACAGTTTCATCAGTCCTACATGAGAACTAATACTGGCCTCAATTCATTCCTAGAGCAGTGGCGGTTTGTCCGTAAGGGCACTTGGGCACGTGCCCTAGTATAATAAACAAACAAAAAAAAAAACTTAAATATTTTATATTTTCCTCAATGCATATTATTTTATCTAATATTCAGCGCAAACCGCGTTGGCACGACACTGGGCGACCGGGCGTTGAGCGACTTTCCGAAGATGGGCACAGGGCACAGTAAATGTGTGCCTCTGTTGTTTTATCTCTCATTATGATGCGAAAAACAAGGACAACGACAATATCGCTTAGCAAGAGATGAACACATGCGATGGATTATACGTCACAAGCAGGGCGCTGTCCCAGATTAACCTACACCAGATACAGATACGAATGTACGCGGCGGCAATAGCCTAGAGCTCCCACCATTTTCTTCCTAGATCCAGCGGAAGAAATAGTACGGACGATTGCGTTGGCTCTAGTTTCAGCAGAGCTTGCGACCGTTGAACGGTTAGTCTGACCGCCTAGGTTACAAAACATTGCCGAACTTGTGAATTTGTGAAATTTATTATGACTGGATATAAATGTGTAGATGTTGTACATCTGAAAATAGAGATGGGACAAAATTTTAATTTTTCTTTTGGTTTTGTCTGACTTTTTCGAGGATTTCAAATCTCTGTTTGCATATTTAAGAGTATAAAAAATTCTGAGTCTTATAAATAATTTAATGGTGTACATTTTCGCAAATTGTTGGCAAGGATGACCAAATTCTATTTTGCTCATCTCAAAAAGGCATGCGTTGGAAATTCCAGGCTTAGTTGACAAACTATCAAATAGAGATATAAATATGTATTCTAATTTTAAAATATAAAAGAAATTTTTCGCTGGGAGATTTTAAATTGCCAAACGCCTTTTCTTCAGAGTTGTATGCTTTAAAATGCGTTAACAAGTTAGAATTGTTAAATAAATTGCATTCTTCTGAGAAATTTACGCAAATTTCGCAAGAGTGGATATGTAATGATTTTTTGATTAAATAGCTTAAATGCATTTTAAGTGGTCACATTTAGCTCCCTGTAGTCACATTCAGAAATCGTTATTGTCCCAACTGATTGTTTTGAAATATATTTAATTTTCATTAAGAGGAGAACTTGTTTACCCAAGGGAAAAACGAATCCCGGGATTCCTTTACAGTGTGTGTCCCACTGCCGCTAGTGCCCACGAGCCGCTTCTGTCCTAGAGTTTCACGAAGCGTTAATGCTTGTGCTGATAGTCTAGAACTTTTTAATTCAAGCTTTTCTAATTTTGTGAGAGTGTTAAAACTTACTGTGACTTAAATTTCCTAGTCTTAATATTAGTTGTTTCGATTTTGTTCATGTTAATATATTTATGATTTTTGTTGTTAGTTTAACATTATTTTGACATATTATTTAGATTGACTCTGAGATTTTTTACTTTTATTTGTAACTTTGTACTATAGTGGGCAAGGCCCGTGAATAAATAAATAAATAAATAAATAAATAAATAAATAAATAAATAAATAAATAAATAAATAAATAAATAAATAAATAAATAAATAAAAATAATGAATATGTAAATACAGGTCCAAGAGCAAAACCACCTGTCGAAACTCAAAGCCAAAGCTGAAGCTCGCATTAAAATCCTTAATCAAGAAATTGTTCAGATGAAACAAACAAAAGTAAAATTGGTCAAGACTATGCGAGAAGAATCTGATAAATTCAGGCAATGGAAACTCGAAAAAGATCGTGAATGCATCCGATTAAAACGGGAAGATATAAAGAAATCACATGAAATTAACAAAATGAAAGTCATGCATAACAAACAACAAACAGTGTTCAAACGAAGAGTGGAAGAAGCAGAAGCTATCAACAAGCGATTGAAACATGCTTTGGCTTTAAAAAAACAAGCGCAGGATGCGAGGAACAGTGGGAAAGCTGAACGTTTAGAACCATGGGTAAGTCTGAGCCTATGCGATCTCTTTAATTTTAATAATCTCAAAAAGCTGCTTCAAAAAATTATTTTTATCCAATTTACTATATAGCCAGATAACAATTATACATTCTTAACATATTCTTAGTATATACTTTTTAAGAATACGCATATGTTGAGAATATACTTTATTTGCATTTAGTATATTCTCAGAATGTACTAAGCATATGTTACGTGACGTTGTTTATATGTGCTATGCAGATACTGAGAATGTACTTCAAGTATGTGTACAGTATGCAATAAGTATCTACTTTAATTTGATAGTACGTTCTAAGTATATGCTTAGTATTTAAATACAGCATATGCTAGGCATATACTAAACATCTGAATACAGGATGTTTCATTAATATTGAACATTACAAAATAAGTGTATATAATGAAGGTCGTGACCATTTTTTAAATCTTTATTTCAAAAAATTCATACTTATTCTTATTTTTATTACAAAGCCTTTCTTTGGCCTTAACCAACCAATATTTTATTGTATCAATGGCTTGAGTTTCATTTGCTTGATTCCATTGGATCTTCATTGAACCTAAAAAATAAAAAAAACCTGGTACATATACAAATTAAGTGTACATAGCTAATGAAATATTTTAAATATTTTTGTCGAATGTAAAACATTAAAAATTGTACATAGCATTCCAATAACAAAAACAAGAGTTACATAAATGGTTATTATGTTTAATGAAAGTTTAAATATATTTTTGTTAATTACTTACCACCATTTTGTAGTTTTCGTCCTCCTTTAGCTAATTTTCTAGTTCTTCCAGGTCAATTTCTGGTCTTGCAGAATTTTTTTCATATAAAGCGTGTATGTAATTCTGGTATCACTGTATTTTAGTTTCAATCAGCCATTAGTATTAACCATATTAATAAATTCACACTGGCAATTAATATCATGTGGTCTAACATCACTTATAGGTCATAAAAACTACAGTAAAATTTGTTTATTTTTATATTCGCTCCGTGCGAAGTCATGGAAAGGGAAGCAAAAGCGATACTAGCGCTAGCTGCGGATAATTCGTGCATTTTAGGGCGATATTTTGTAATTTTGGCATATCAAATACACGTATACATTTTACTTTTTTTTTTTCAAGAAAATAGGAAAAAACAACACAATAAGCAACCGGAGTTGCTGTGTTGAAAATTGTACAAATACCAGCAAAAAAAAACAGTGAAACTTATATAACAAATTTCACTAGCAAAGTGGAAATTTAATCAAAGAAATAAATGGATAGGTGTACAATAAGAAGAAAAATTACCTTTAATTTTGTGATTATAACAGTAATGCTGGAAATAGTAGACATCAGAAACTTGAAAGGTTTTAAATAAGCAATAAATTATCATTTTACGATGTTCTTTAATATCCCTTTATTCTTAAATGTTCATTCAGCAAGGACTAGATTTCAAGATTTCTGCCCTTGATTATAATATTTGGCTGGAATGCAATTTTGTGACCTACTGATGGGAAACCAGTTTTAATCATTCATTCTATGGTTTCTTTCGAACAAAAATGAAAATATAAATAACGATCCTTTTTTATACATTTTAACTTCACGCTGTTATTAAATGGTATTTTTTTATTTTGACAGAATAGGCTAATTCTTCAATGACAACTTATTAGACTTAGGCAACTTCTCATACATTTTCCAGTAAATACTGTTGCCTGCCTATATTTTATTATTGAATTTTATTAATTATACATAATTTTCTTTAATTTAAGCAGGAAAAATATGTAATAATAATAAATTAATGTTTTACTTGTTTTACAAATCCATATACTTTTATTAAAACTAACATATATACTTTTTATTTACGAATTCTATTTGTCAGTATAGGCAGAAATAGTCCTTTAATACCAAAACAAATTGGCGCTGGTGTCGCGCACGGAGCGAATAGAACACACCATGTAATTAATTTTTATTAATTTATTTACCTGTTACAAACTGAAACGAGATCAAAAAAATTTGTAGGAATTGTAGGTTGTTATTCTTCTCTTCTATTAAGGTTGTGAATGTTTTTTAGCGAATTATCAGATCGGCATCTGGAAAAATTTCATATAGATATAAACGTGTTTTTACTTGTATTTGGTATTAATTTTTACCTGCAAGCATTTAGAACATTCTCAGAACATGAGGTACATGCTGGGTACTTTTACTTTTAGTATCTTCTAAGAATGTCCTGTTATAGCATGTTCTCAGTATATACTTTTTGGAATATACTTTTAAGGCACATACTCAGTATATATTTTTTAGAATGTACTTTCATAGCACACACTCAGTATGTGCTTTCTAGAATATACTTTCAAAGTATATACTAGGTATGTTCTAAGAACATTTTAGAAAGGATATAATAAAAAGAACAAACATAACGTTCTTAGTATATTCATAGAACATTGATGTAATATTTTTAATTTACGGCAGTTGTACTTCCTCAGATCTGTCAATCACACTTTTAAAAAACTAACATACATTTAATTTCATTACTCATGGTCACTGTTATAATGTGGATAGAATTGTCAACTTATTTAATAAAGTAAACGGAGACAATACTGGTGATAATTTTATTAACCAAGTAAACTTTATTGTAAACATTGTTATACGAAATGGCTGCTTACTAAACGACAAAACGAATTCTACTAACAACTTCGTCGAAAATTACTAATTAAACAACTACTAAAAAATGACACTTGACATTGACAAATGATAAATCGGTGACAGTCAATATTACCAACTATAACAGTATTATAAAACTTTAAAACATTTTAACCCTTAACTTGGCAAAAGTTTAATTTTGAATCTAAAAATCTGAAAATTTGCATGTGTTCTGTTTGGTGGTCATACAAATATTCTATGATAACAAAAAAATTATATGACATTTGTATGTCAAAAATTTTGATTGTATACCAGAGTATACATCGCCAAATAGCCCGATAAATGGGTATGTATAGCATATTACACATTGCCAAGTTACGAAGTAAAATCAAACTATCAAAAATTACTCAAAAATATTTATTTGTTAATATGAACATCCATAAAACAATTTCTGTTCTGGACTAAACATAGCCTTATAATGCATTTGCTGCAAAATATGGCGGTTTGTCCCTTCTTGCAATTTCTACACCTGCCCATTGCACCATAAATTGGAAAATGATCTAGATGATCCAATCTAATGTCATCTTGGGGTCTAGGCTTTACCGGGTTTTTAATTTTTTTTGAAGTTAGTGGTAGCTGTTCATTACTGGGACGTCCTCTTTTTACTCTGTCAGCCTGCAGTAGACTTTTGGCAAGTTTAATTCGAAATTGTTTGAGTGGAATTACTGTTTTTGGATTTTCTTGTAGAATGTTTGAATCTCGTTTGTATAATAGCCAAGCATTATTTATAGATATATCTATAATTTGAGAAAAAATGCTCATATACCATCTATGCGTTTTGAAGCGTATTCTATATATAGCAATCAACATGTCTGCCAAATCCACACCACCCATATGACTGTTATAGTGTTTTATTAACTGTGGACATGGAATGTGAATTTTTCTATTTTCCTCTTTGGAGAATCTTTGGATAGTTGTCATTGGATTGGAGGCCACATACGAACTACATAGGGTTACGGACTTGTTATCGTACCACTTTACAACAACAATGTGACTGTCATTGTCTACTCTTTGGTCAAAACTACCTCTTCCATCTTTTTTCAATTTCTTATCCGATTCAAGTGGGCAATCCCGTAGTCTGTCTTTTCTAACAGTTCCCAAAGATAGAATTCCAAATTCACTTCGAAGATATGTTATAAGTTCTAAACTTGTAAAATAATTATCAAAATATACCATCAATAATGGTTTATTTTGGATTGTCGAACATAGTGCTAAAACACATTTTGCACCAAATCCCATGTTATTTTCAACTTCTGTAAAACAATGGTTTCTAAACGTATCATTTCCTCCATAGGGAAAGAAATCATACACTATCCCAGATACGCCACAGCGAACAAACATTTTGAAACCCCATTTTTTTGGTTTATTCTTCATATACTGCCTCCTCGAGCCGGCCTTTTGAAACCCCATTTTTTTGGTTTATTCTTCATATACTGCCTCCTCGAGCCGGCCTTTTTCCCCTTGTATGGAATCATCATTTCATCCACTGAACATCTAGACTCTTGACTCAATTGTAAGACAGTTTCTTCGTACACGATCTAGAATAGGCCTTACTTTAAAATATCTGTCATCATTCAACTCCTCGTTATTGACGAAATGAAGGCTGCGTCGTATTGCTTGATACCTTTTTAGTGGCATTATATTTGCAATAAGTTCATATCGTGTTTCTTGAGCCCAATAGTCCGTGTAAGCCGGCATGTCAACAATCCCCATTAAAATTTCGATAGCCAAGAAATCGTGCATTTCATCTATGCTTGTGTCTACACATTTGTGAAATTTTTGTGTCGAATACAGGTTAGTTTGATCTACGATTAATTCAACGATATCTGGACTAAAAAAGGTTTTAAAATATTGCAAAGGTGTTTTTATATTTTGGGGTCTTGTAAAATCATTCGTTTGTGCCGTTGTTACTTCATATTCAAAATCATCAGTTGTCCACTTAAATGGAGTCTCATATTTTTTTCCTTTTCTTTTTATTAAAGAGTTTGGGTTTTTTTGAACTAATGGCGAAAACGGTGGCACAACCGAGGGAGTAGCTGCTGCTAGTCTTTGTTTACTGACTGAAATAGGTAATAATTCTACAGCGTCTTCTCTATTTTCTTCAGGAGTGTAATTTTCCTCGTCATCATCATCTGGATCTTCAATGAATTCTTTCAGTAAATTACGAGATAACACCTCTTGTTCATTGTCACTACTGCTTTCTGGGTCGCTTTCAGCACCAATTGGAGGCAAAAGAGCCATAATTTTATCAATTCTCCTTTTTGTATTCTGAAAATAAAAATAAATATCGAGTAACCCATACCGGGCGGTGTATACTATACAATACGATAAATTTTCATTCAATTTGTGGAAAAAATATTTACTGAATACCAAAAATGTATTTATAAATAAACAGTACTATGCTTCAACAGTAATTTTCCAAAAAATTAGCGCTGCATTATAAAAATCAATAAACAATAACAATAAACTTACCACTTGTTGCTTGGAACAACACGCTTGCTCATCCATTTTGCTGAGACTGTCTCCATACCAGCGGACCTAGATGCGCGAATTGAGAATTTTCGCACCGATCTCCCGTCGGCTACATACGATAGTGTATCCTCCACTATACATTGCCAACAAATGGGTCTCAAATCTTACTGATTCCCAAATAAAAATATATATGTATATTATGTATATTATAACATACGTTGCCAAGTTAAGGGTTAAGCATTGGATTATATTTATAACAGTCATGACCAGTGGTAGCTCGTGGGGTTGTTCACAGTGACAGAATGTTGGTATCAGTACAGATGTATGAAAAAACTTTCAGTGTTTTAGAAAGTTTATAATATATCTTTTTAAAACACTGACAGTTTTTTACCTATATCTGTACTGGGATCTATATTCTGCTACTGTGAACCCTCAACATTTTGTTCATGAGCCGCCCCCTGGTCACGACACAAAACTAAGTTTGACAATTAAATTACTTTACTATTCTGTCAAATTTTAGCTCTATAGCATTATTATAGAGTCTTTTTTTCTAGCTCAAACAAGAATTTAATCTATATGTGAACGTTGTTGAAGCCGAAGCTACGTTGAAAGTTCTTCTCGAAGATCGCGCCACCCTCCAAGCTCAATTAGATGATATGAAAAACACTTCTGGCGGCGATAGTGCAGAATGTAAATCTATCGAAGAAGATTTAGAATTAAGAAGCGTCCAAATACAGGATTTACAACAAAAACTTTTAGATTCCAACGAAGGTAATTATTTTCACTCTAAAGTCACGAGTTTTGGAAAATTATTTTCTATTTCCTCTATTTTCCCTTGAACTGATTAGATTTTGGGCAGAGTCTGAACATCTGGGGGGTACTTTATAAGGGGTCATTTTTATATTTTATTGAATATATCTGTTATTTACTTTTGGAGAAGAATATTCTTCAAATAAAAGTTGCTTTTAATATTATTCATTTTTTTCAGTATTTTCGTTGGCGATGAATATATCAGGGTGTCTGGGAAAATGTGGGAGATCTCTCGGATTCAGATAGAACATTAAAAAATTAATAAGTTTCCATAAATTTTTTTCCTATCGGCCCTCTCTACGGAGATACGGCCTCCAAAAGGGCGCCACTGGAAATCAATTTTTCTTGAATAACTTTTAAACTGTTTAATATAATTTAATGAAAATTTGTATGATAAATAGTAGTAAGAACCTCTTAAAATACTGCCCTTAAAACATAATTAGCTTGTTTAGTTTACCAGGGGCAGACTAGGTTGTACATTTTAATGCTTACATTTTTATCACCCTGTATGATAAGGAGTTAAAAATAATAAATTTCGATAACTTGAACATTAGAAAAGGTACTCTTCTTCATTGTTGACAAACTGGACCGTTTTCGAAAAAAAAAAAAGTTTTATTTTTAATAAAAAGAAACCATGATTTCCAATTTTTTGTATGCAGCAAAGTGTGATACGAAAGTCATTGAAATGTAACTGTTATCAGTATTAAAAAAAAACGCACTGTTTTTGCAAACGTTACTATGGTATCTAAGAAATAAATAAATGAATAATTGCATTGACGTGTGCATTTTAAATCTTGTTGACACGTTGATCTTTTAGTATGCCAATATTAATTTATTGAATTTTGAATATCTTGGTAAATTTAATTCAATAATGGGATACACATTTAGTGAGTATGCTGATATGCATCTTATTTACGGTCTTGCATCTTGCGATGCTTATGAAGCAAGAAGGTTGTATGAAGAAAGATATACTAATCGCAATATTCCAAATGTGTCAAAAACGACAATTGCTGAAGTACTTAATGAACAGTTGTTATACCCTTATCATCTGCAAAAAGAGCATCAACTACTTCCTGAAGATTTCCTCGTAGAATCCAGTTCGCAAACTGGCTGTTAGATCAGCAATGAACAAACGGAAACTTCATTAGCACTTTTCTTTTTACCGATGAAGCAGGGTTTACCAAAAATGGTATTGTAAATTTACATAACTTAGATGTATGGGCTGTTGAAAACCCTCATGCCACTGTTGTTGCATCATTATCAACATCAGTTCCAATCAATTAATTTTTGGGCAGAAATAATCGGCAATTTTTTGATTGGACCATGCATATTGCCGCCACGATTGAATGGTGAACTTTATTTACAGTTCTTTCAGAACTCTTTTCTGGATTCAATAGAGCATTTTCCACTTGAAACCTGCCGAAGCATGTATTTTATGCATGATGTAGCGCCACCTCACTTTAGCGTCGCTGTACGGGACCACCAGAATAACGTCTTATCGAAACCGTTGGATAGGCAAAGGAGGTCCAATTGCCTGGCCTCCACGGTCACCTGACCTAGCGATGGATTTTTATCTGTTGGGTCATCTCAAAACCTTGGTGTATTCCTCTCCTGTTGATACTAGGGAGGAACTTCTACAGGGAATCACATTTCACTGTGATGTGATAAGGAATGCTGGGTTGTTGTGGCGAGTACAGCAGTCCCCTATTCGTTGGGCCCACGAGTATATCAGAGTTCACGGAGCACATATTGATTATTTCTAATTAGCGTATTTAGGTTCAATCGTTACAAGCTTTAGTGAGTTCAGGATGAAAACATAATACTCCAGGTTGTATTTTAGAATTTACCAATTTGAAATTAGCTAATTCTGGGAGTTTAATTTTTTAATAAAAATAAAACATTTTTATTATTTTTTTTTTTTTTTTTGAAAACCGTTCATTTTATCGACAATGAAGAAGAGTACCTTTTCTTTAGCATAATGTTCAAGGTATCGAAATTTATTTTTTTTAACTCCTTATCATACAGGGTGTTAAAAATGTAAGCATTAAAATGTACAATCTAGTCCGCCCCTGGTAAACTAAACAAGCTAATTATGTTTTAAGGGCAGTATTTTAAGAGGATCTTCCTATTGTTTATCATATTAAATTTTCATTAAATTATATTACGTAGTTTGAAAGTTATTCAAGAAAAATTGATTTCCAGCGGCGTCCTTTTGGAGGCCGTATCTCCGTAGGGAGGGCCGCTAGGAAAAAAAATATGGGAATGTGTCATTTTTTAATGTACTATCTGAATCCGAGAGACCTCCCACATTTTCCCGGTATAAAAAAATGTTTCGAAAAATTTAGTTTATCCTCTAAACATTTACAGAGGTGTTACAGCATATTGTACAAAATAACCGGAAAAAGCCTGTAATAACTAGATAGGAAAGTGTGTGTTGGACACATCAGATTTTTACATTAAGTTTTTCAAGAAACTTATTTTTAATTGCATGATATTTAATAACTGATGTCAAGATCACATTTGTATATGTACAGTACTTAAAACTTTTTTTTATTAATTTCTCTAAAACTAGGATACTATTTATTATTGAAATCATTATGACCATGTAAAGTACTTAAAAACGTCCCTAGTGGGTCTAAACTGCTGTTCGCTCTCTAGATGCATATTTTGGTAAAACAATCCCATATCTTCCTCTTTTTTCCCCAAATTGTAGGACATACAGTTTTGGAAAATATTTTTAAAATTTATGTCTTGAATTATTAAAACGAATTGAAAAATTCTATTTTCGTATTTTTGTTTCAGAAAACCGACTGAAACTTCGTTTCGACAAATTTCAAACTATGTCCGAGGCGAAATATGGAATAAAATTTTTGTTCGCGAAAGCAGCAGAAATCGTGAAAGAAAAAGTGAACATCCAAATGAAATTAAGTGAACTACAGGAACTGTATAAAGAAGTAATTATTATGTTTACTTTCGAATCCCAGACCAGACCATGTTGATTTTTAATTAAATTGTATGGTTTGGTTTAGGATTTGATGTGTGCCGTATTAATACATACATTATCGTCTCGATGATGGTGGGTGAGGTTTTCCGGGTTTTCCTCACCTGTAAGTCAAATGGCACCATCAATCATCGTTAAGTCGCCCCGGAGCGCCACGGCAAATAATAATAATAGCCGTCCCTTCCCCTACACAAGTCGTTCAGTCGACTTCAGGGGTTGAAATTCACTCGTAAGGGGGTGAATTAGGGAGAGTATTATTATTATTATTATTATTATTATTATTATTATTATTATTATTATTATTATTATTTCCCCCTTTTTTTTAAATAATACGCTAAATAAGCGATGACATAAAAGTGCGTTTTGGTTGACCTAAATTATATTGTTTTAAATATATTTCTAGAGTGATTAGATAACATGGATCCAGTATATAATTATTTAGTAATCAATTACATACCGTTAAACTACTTTTTATGATTTGCGCAAAAGATATTTAATAAAAAAAAAATTAAACTCAAATATTGTTAAAAAGTTTGGTTAGAATTAACTGTAAGTGGAACCAAAATTACGTCACACTTTTATGGCGTATTGTCGTTTTCTTGTACGTTGTACAAATTTGGTTATCATATCAGGGGAGATTTGTTCTTTACAATGTCAAAATGCACTAAATGTAAAAAAGAGGATAAGTCCTCATTTAATGCTACGTTTGAAAAGTACCTCACGGAGCGGAGTAGAGCTAGTAGATTTTTTAGTCACGTGATCATCGAGCAAATCGAGCTTATGTGGAATAAAAGCACGGCTATGGATTTGTTTGTGTTTCCGTATCCTGTTTTCATTAAAATAACAAACGTAAACTATTCTTTTAAGTCAAATTTGATCTCTCGTCTCTGGTTTTTGTTGCAAGTTGCAAAGTAAAGTTAATTTTTAGCTGTGTTATTTTTCACTTTTTGCTTTCACTAGAAAATAAACCATGTTCTCATTTTTGTCTGACATTTTTTTATAAATATTTTTTTTTAATGACCAAACACATGAAAAAGAATAAACTGCAACACAAGAGACGACGAATGGTGTCTGTACATCTCAGAAAAGTACATCTACTTTGTCAATTGTCACAGAAATTACATTTCGAAAGCTCTAAAATTTAATTCAGAGTAAATAGATCTTACTCGATTTACCAGCTCTGCATTATAAGACCATGGAGCAGATCCCATCGAGAAGCCGCAGATGTATTAAAAGAACGGCTTCGAGTAAAAAGAGCAAAACGAGGTAGTTTTCAAACGCAGCATATGTGTGATGGGTGCAAAAAATGGAGACATATCTTGTGCAAATGTGACTTCCACTGAAGTTAGATGTCTGCAATTGTCAAATTCTTTTGTGAAGATTGTGAAGAAAATCCTATGTATTATAAAGTACATGCAAGAGGAGTTTGTCAAATTGAGGACGTCAAATGAAAAAGCGTTGCAAGATAAAAACACTGAAATTCAGGAACTTAGGAAATAATCAACAGATTTGAAAAAACAGAAACATAATATGAATATGGAGGAAATGTTAGAACAGAAGTAAAAGTTGGAAATGCTTTTGCCAGTTCTCCCACTTTATACACATAAATTGACAGGTTGGCAACGGATCTCACCGAAGTGGACGCGATACATTGGCGTACAAAATTATTTTATAGATGTTAATAACAATTTCGAGTAAATAGTTTAATAAATTGTGAATAGCTGTTGAAATTTTGTAAAATTATAATTTGAATATTATAATTATTTATAATCCATAAATACATGCGATTGTCCGGTTCCGCCGATAACAATTTAAAATTACTTATTCTATGAAACGACACTGGCAGGTAAACATTACTGTGAAATTCTCGGAGCCGCCCGACGTGGTTTGACGTTTACCCCCTCTCTACCTACCAAAAGACTTTTCAACTTTTACTTTCTCTATAAGTGAAACGCAATTAAGAACAGAGAAAGCGAATAACTTAATGGTATTTAATATTGAAGAATCAAATGCAACACTTAAAGATAAAATTGATGATGGTAGAAATAAAATCATGGAGGTATTAGGGAATTTAAACAAAAACGAAAAAGAAAAGGAAGTTGTGAAAGTTGGTAAACCATTGGGATCAAGTCCAAGATCAATCAAAGTAATTTTTTCAAATAGAAATGCTATTCTTGAGATATTGAAGAACAAGAAAAAAATACGCGTGGCACTCGGGGACTGCCGCGGTAAAGCTATTGCATAACATTTTTTATCAACTTATGCAATTATAATTATTTATTTTATTTATGCAGTATTTTTTTTTCTTTGATATTAATTCAAGTTACACTTTAAGAGCGTGGTGGCCGATAAGAAAACAATTTTTTTTTCTTTTATTGAATAAATGAGAAATTAATATTGTTTAAAATATTTTTATTATCTTACAATATATGTAGGTTATTCAGGAATTTTTATTATTGAAACTATAGGTTTATGGTAACTGAAATAAGAAACATAAGTTTGAGACTTGATATCCTCTAAATATCTGGAAAATACCGCGTCAATGGAGGTCCATATTTTGTTGTGGATTCTTGTGGATCATTATTTATTTTCAAATTCAATTTTTCCGAAATTGTGTCTAAAAGAGATAGAATCAGTTATGAGCAGTTAGCAGCTAGTCTACACGCATACGTCTAGTCGCACGCACACAAACACCGTGCCGAAATCTGCCGAACTGAAACGACGTTAGACGATGCGCGGCGTTCAACGTTCAATGTTAGGTTTATTTTCGTTACGGAATTTATTTTTCGATTTTACAATTTTTCGGTTTTTTTTTTTATTTTTCGAGGGTGTTAGGTTTATTTTCTTGATTCGGTCGCCGCGCTCAAAGCCCGCGATAAAATCTATGCAATAGCTTAATAATGAAATAGTTAACACTGATAAAATAAAAATTTATATTTTATAAATCTTGCAAAAAAATTAATATCTTAATATTTACGCCAGCCGTGAACATTTGTGATACTAATTTATTAGAAGCCAGAGAAAGCTCTTCTAGTATATTTAACTCCGCTTCATACTAATACGAATAGGGTCGGATAAAATCTTCCACGGCTTTCATCGCCGCACCGCTGTGCCGGTCGGAGTGGGGGGGGGGGGTGTTAGGTTTATTTTCGTCGCCGCGCCCAAAGCCCGCGATAAAAGCTATGCAATAGCTTAATTAGAAAATTCTATTATTAAGATAAATATTGATCAAACGAAGATGCACAGAGATTTATTTAACAAGGTGAGAACAGAGCTCAAGGAAAGAAGAACTAATGGAGAACAAGATATTAGAATTCAGTTTAAAAACTACGTTCCAAAAATTGTTTAAAATACAACTAAAAAAACTAATTCAATCCCCATTGCAAAATGTAGGTGTCTTGCGAACTAAATTAAATATACTTAGTTCTAATTATGACATTATAATATTGAAAGTTGGTTATCTAAAGACATTGTCAGAAGAAATTGATCTCCCCTCGTATGCATTATTTAAGTGTGATAGAAACACTCAAGCAGCAAATGTCATGGTGGAGGTGTAATTATAATTATAAAGTCGATTCTAAATCCAGTGGAGTTGAGAGTTATTCATAAATGATGGTGGAACATTTATTTGTATTATGTTTGTTAGGACAAAAATCATTTATCATTGGAGGTGCCTATCTCTCACCAAATTTTACTGAATTAAAATATAAGAATCATTGTAATACTGTCATTGATATAATGCAAACTAATGAAAAATGTGACATTTAATTTTTGGAGACTGCCAGAAGCAATATGGTCAAATGATGATTCTGGTGTTTTAGTTAACTGTTCACATTCTTTACCATTGGCTCAACATTTTTAATTTTTAAATTTATTTCAAAAAAATACTATACCTTATAATAGAAATGTACTGTTAGATTTACTTTTTGCAAATTTGATTGATTTGGAAGTAGTTTTATCAACTGATCCAATATTTGATAGTAGTATCCACCATATAAGTTACTCAGTAACTTTTAATACAAGCGAGTCAAATTTAAATCATCTGTAATATACAGAATTCTACTATGACTTCCATAATGCCAATTATTTTGATCTTAACAATTACTTCGCAGCTATTGATTGGAAGAATATACTATCGTCGTTGCCGCGGTGAAACCTCCTTTGTGATATTTTATCACATTTTTAGATTTTTGTACCAGTTCATAGAAACTAACATTCTGTACAGTTTAGCGAAACCTCCCATGTAATTTTCTTTTAAAATATTGTGATTTTAGACCTCCCTTGTGCGTAATACGTATAAGGCATCAGAACAAAATTGTTACGTTTTTATATCTACTGAAAATTTTTATGAAATGTACATAGGAGGTTTCACCGCGACAACGACGATATGTTATAATGATATACATATTGCCTCGAATGAGTTCTATCATATCGTAAACATGGGTGTTGCACTTTTTGTCCCATTAAAAAGATTTCTATCGTCTAATTTCCCTAAATGGTTCAATGCGGAACTTAGATATCTCGTGAGGCAAAAAATAGGCTCATAAACAATTCATGATTACTCATAATATAGAAGACTACAGATACTTTTTGGAATTGAGAGCGGCTTGTAAAAATCTTTCTAGAACATGTTACAATGACTATATTAGACAGATAAACCACTCTTTATACAATAATCCCAAATATTTTTTGGACATTCATAAACAGTAAAAGGAAATGTAATAACTTACCTAACACAATGCACTATAATGGTAACCTAGCAGCAAATGGAGAACAAATTGTAGAAAAATTTGAAAATTACTTTGGTACAGTATACGCTGACTCTTCTCATATAAACAGGAATAATGATAGTAATTTGGCCACATTTATTAACATTCCCTGTCCATTGTTTTCTACTGAGTTGATTTTTGATCAAATATCTAAACTTCCTAATAAAAATAGTGTAGGACCCGACAGGATTCCTCATATATTTCTAAAAAACTGCATTGTTTTCCTCAGGTGTACCACAGGGCTCTCATTGTTCACCACTTTTATTTAATATATTTATTAACGATATAATAGAATGCTTTAGATTCAATCTCAAAATCATCCCAATGCTTAGGGTTAATATTGCATAACTGTTCTGATTTCTCTCTAGAAGCCATAAAAAGAGTATCAAATATTGGTTACAGTGGAAAGAATACAAAAAAATGTCTAAAATACTGTGCCTTCAAATTAAATATTTGGGTAACCGATGACAATTATACTAGGATTTCAAATGAAATGAATATGCGTCGACTTAAGTACAGGAGACATATCAGATTTGAATTTTATCTATAGATTATTAAATGGTTAGTCATATTCTTGGAACTATTATAAATTATTTCTTTCAATATTCCTAATAGAGTTCTTAAGCAATTAAATATGTTCCATGTTCCATTTCACAATGCAAACTATGACGTGCATTTACCTATTGAAAGAACATTGAGGGTAATAAATCAATTGAATCTTGAGGTTACAGGCATTTCTTATAATATATTTAAGGCAATCTGAACGAATACACTGAAATAAAAATGAAATATTACAGACGAATTTACAATACTTAAAATGCATAAGCATTTATTAATCTAAAACTTATTTGACTTAATTATAACTTTTTTTCTCTCTTGTATTTTTTAATTTAATTTATAATTTACAATTATCTGTATCATTTATGTGTTTTGCTTTGTAATGGGGTTGATCCCGTTTAAATAAATAAATACATAAATAATTTATTTTAGACTCAAGAAAAGTTGCAAGAAGCAAAGAAGAGCCGCATAGAAGAAGTGACGACTTTACAAAATGAATATGAAGAGAAGGTTGCACATCTATTGAAGCAAATTTCTGAAAGTACGCATTGTTACTGTCTTACATTTACATTTAATCGACTATGTTTAAACTTTTAATTTTTTAATTGCAGTGAAAGAGGAAGAATGGATTTTACAAATCGAAGAACTGAAAGAAGCTAAACGACTGCTTGAAGAAAAGTTGGAAAGGGCTATGGTAAGATTTTTATATTTTTCAAAAATAAACCGAATTTGATAAATTCTATTAATATTAATCACTACACAGTGTGGGCTATAAGGAACGAAAAAATAGTGTAATACAATTAATTGTTTCAGGAAAAGCAGGAAAACGTGGAGGTACCACAAATACAAGCTGTTTCATTAGACACAAGTGCGGTGCCAAACAACAAAGTAAGTAATACAAGTGATATTGAAAAGTTGACTAGAATCATGGTGTAAGAATATAGGCGCAGGTTTTATGACGTCAACATCGGTATTGTCACGGCCGCCTATAGACTGCCATGCGGTGTTGCCAGGTATACCATTTTTATGGTATTTATACCATTTTTCTACTATGATACCTGCAAGTTTTTGAAGGTACCATTTTCCATTTTTTTTTACCATTTTTTGGCTACTGATACCATTTTAATACCATATTTTTAACGTTTAGATTTTTATAATACGAGTAAAACATAGCACTCTGCACATCTCTTCTCTACTAAAAAGTAACAAGAATGGTCTCACATCTCTACTAAAACACGCCCAATAATAGAAGATTACAAAAATGTATCTATTATCGGAGAATTCAAAAATGAAAAGAAAAATTGTGGTCTATTTAAAAAAAAAATCGATGACGTTGTAGCGAAAGACGTGCAGTTGAAAATAATAATTGACTAGTGAATGAATTTTGTTAAAATACTGTTAGACAGAAAAATATCGAATTTACTCCAACCTATAAGTCCTCATTGTATATGTTTCTATAGGTTATAGTTATAAATTACTAAAAGGTTTACTGGCTCTTCAACAATACCGAAAACCCACTTGACTAAATCGTCATGGTGAAATAAAAGTAAAAGTCCCTAGATGTCAGCCAGTGCCGTATGTATTTTATTACAAAATAGATCTTTTTTTATGGTCTGCAACTACGAGATCAAAATTCAGTTAGGTAACTGTTAGAATTACAACACAAAATCATAATATTAATTAGAGGTGCTTTACATTATTATATTTTAATTGTAGAATTCGATATTTTAATTAGATTTAGTCAAATGCTCTAATCTAATTTTTAAAATTATAATACAATTAACATAACCTTAAAAACTGAGCTATTTATATCTAGTTTGTATTTAACGAAAAGAATAATAGACTGAAATATAGTTCATACTAGTTATTGCCACTATTACAAAAAAAAACCTTTACCAGAAAGTTATGGACAAAAAATGTTATGAATTAAAATATGAATAAAACTAAAAATTATTTACTTTAGATTGAAATAGAAGATATTTAGCTACAGCTGAAACTTTAAAAAAATTTAAAACAACTGAAATTGTACCTGGGCAATGGGAAGTAATAAACAAATAATTTATGTATACAAAAAAAATATTAATATTAATATAACAAGCACATATTTGTTTTACCTTACAGCTCTCACTTTAAATAATAAAGGCATACATATTAACTATTTTATTTAAAAGGATATTGAGTAGTAATCAGTGGTGCACAAACGATACTAATTCACAGTACTTATCTGTTCAAAATCTTGACCACCAGCTTTAATGCAAGCATTAATCGTTCTTTTTTGAACACATGCAGCTTCTCCTCGGTTATATTTTGTATTTCATTTAATATAGATTCTCCAGTTTATAAATGTCACACAAACGATTTTGAATTGAGCGATCTGTAATATTCCTTAGGTAGGTTTAACAAAATTAAGGTAAAATGATTGTTGCAGTTCCGAAACTTTATAGATGCATTATCAGAAATGTTTTTAATACTTTATGGCTATTTCGTAGCGACAAACCTAAAAAAATATGTTTTGTATTTCACTTGCCAGAGTCAGTCTTTGAACACCGTTCAACCTGTTTGAGGTGCTGTTTTCTATTACTAATTTATTGAGAATTTACACCATGTTAATTTCCACATCTTCAACAGCTTTTGTTATTACTGTGGGCCTATTAGAGCTTTTTCCTTTTTTATAATTTTGAACAAGTATTTGTTTATGACGACAAAAAAGAATAGCATTCCATTTATTCGCCTGGAATATGTTACTCAAATTTTCGAATACAATTACGAATATAAAATAATTTTGTTCCTGTGTAACATTACCTGAAATAAATTATTTAGTCCTTAACTTTTACGAGGTACAGTAAATAAAGTACTTATTAACAAAAAAGAAGCCACCAATAAACTCTAAAAATAACTAATTGCTTTATTAATATTAAATGAAAAATGGAATAAAGGTGTTTATAAAATGTAAACAAATATAATATAAATATCAGTCCCCAAATGAACGCCAGTGACATTTCTGACAGGACTGACAATTCAGTTTAGTTCCTTTCGATGGGTTTTTGATGGTTATCAGATCACGTGGGTTTCGGGTATTGTTGAAGACCTGGTATAAATACAATTTCATTAATACAAGTAACTGGCAAATTCGCTCAGTTCAGCAAGATCATAATGATCCTACCCACAAAGCACGTATCCTCTAGAGACCCCACGCCAATGTTAGACTTTTAAACCAAATTAGCGCCACCTTTAACTTTCAATAAAGTTTTTCTCGAATTTTTCAACTTAGCACCAAAATTATTGCAAAACAATAGAAAATAGAAAACAAAACATCACAGTTTTGCAAATAACCAAGAAGGAACTATAAACAGAAACCAAAAGCCAAAGCCAACAAAAAAATCACAAATCAGACCGAAGAATGAGAAAAACCAAAAACAAATAAATACACGTCACATCTTTGGATTCTTTGTACTTATTTTGTTTTTTATTTGTTCATTATGTTTGTAAAACTTCATTATTTGGTGTTATCAAGATTATTCAAGATACCATTTTTGTCAGTAAAATGCCATTTTTTTTAAGTGTCAGATTCCATATATTTTTTTCATCTGGCAACACTGCTGCCATCGCTTTGTTTACATTTTGTAATAATTGTCAAGATGTTACTCTTTTATTTCCTAGTTCTATAACCATTATTAAAATAAAAATATAAATTTAAATGAAAATAACTGATAAATTACCCATAAGTTATGCTCAATACAAGAAATTAATAAGAAAACTCACTATAGGCAGATAATTGGACCCTTGTGCAAAATAAGAAATGTCAAATAAAAATATATTTTGTGCTCTTATATACAAAAACTAGGTAATTTATTTCCACTTTAGCGTAATATATTTAAATTACATCAGTTGGTATGCATTTCTCTTGAGAATTAACAAGATAGTTGTAGGAGAACTACACGTCTCGTTACACCACAGGTCTTGTCGAAGAAGAAAAACTACTAAAACTTGTTTAAAAACTTATTTTATCTCGAAGGACCATGTAATTTTTAACGGTTTACAAACGTTTTATTTAAACACGAAATATCGTTGAAGTCTCTGATTATTGTCAGCGATACCCTTTTTATCAGCTCGGTCTCCCTCCTTAAACCCCCAGAAGTACCAGGCCTATTGCTCGGGAAAAACCGTCCGTTAACATTGTTGTGGATTAGTACCTAGGTTAAGTAAGTTATGACGGACTATTATCCGTTTAAATAGAAATTTTATAACCCTTGATTGGAGCTTATTTTGCTATTTTAAAAGATTAGGGAAAACCAGAGCTCTTCCACTGCGGGTCTATACTATGAATAAAAATATAGGTACAGTATGATACAAAAAAATATATATTTATTGTAAATACTAAACTGAATGTGTTCGAGACTTTCTCGAACAAGTGTTCATCTAAAACTGAATTCTTCCACCACAAAACATCAAGAGGATGTTACGTCTAGGATAGTTCTTGTAGCCAAACACTGCACAATCTGGCGTTTGGCTAGTACTACACTCCCAAAAATAGTAGATTTAAATGTACCTATAATGAATATATTAATAAAATAATTAGAAACTATTTTTTTTACGCCGTGACTCGGGGCACGCTAACGTGCCGCTAATTTTATCACTAAATGCACGCTAACGTGCCGCTAATTTTACCACTAGAGGCACGCTAAATAAATGCTTGTAGCATCGCATATCAACCTCTATTTTCAAATATTGAGGGAATGAAGGAAGGATAGCTAAGGACAGTTGAATTAGTAATTATATTACGTAACAAGTGAGGAAATAATTTATTTCGTGCGACGTGGCAGTTTAGCACGAGCCGCGTAGCGGTGAGTGTGGAAACGTATCGAGAGCATAAAATATACTTTCCCACGTGTAATGTACACAATTTTTCCTACGACCTCAACTATATAAAGAGTGTTTTAGGTGCTTTGTATAATAAAGTGTTCTCATATGACACCGAAACAAAATCATATATTACAATGTACCACCTCACCAGTATTTTGCATCTTTCTCCATAGATATATAGAGATATCATTTGATTGCAAAACACCTTTGTGTATGGTTGTAATTTATGAAAGCATCAAATAGAGGATTAAAAAAAAAACATTAATTTCTCATTCTTTTTATTTGTAGCATAAATTACAAAACCAGGTTTTTTTTTCAGGAACTGTGTTAAGGGTAAGACCAACACATTTTAAATGAAACCAAAAAAAAAAGCATTCACAAACTATTGATGGCTCATATTGTCCCAGATTCTCAGAGCAAATTCTGCAAAACCATTCATTGGCTTCTTTTTTTTGTTTAAATTTAATTTCAAATAGACTCCAGGCTTGAGGTGTGAAATACATTTTCAAATCATTTAATGGAATTGCATCATCTAATAATAAAGAAAAAATCCGTTTATTTTAATAAATACCAAAAAACAAATGTATACCTACCTAATAAAGGATCGGGTAGTTTTTCCTTTAAATTATTTATATTGACTTTAAAGTTTTCACTTCTGAGTAAATCATGAGTAACTGATTCATTATCATTAGTTACAATATTTAGGATGTAAAAGATTTGCTGAATTTTTGTTTTTAAGTGAAACTTGATCGGCAATGTTCTTTTCCTTTTGTGTTTTAGACCAATTACCGTTGTTTCGTGTCCTCTAGGGCGCCCACGTTTTTTTATTTTTGTAGGTAAAACAATATTATTAATGTCAACAGTAGAATTAAAAATAACATTTCTGTCTCCTAACTCATTAATATTTTCAATATTCTCATTTGTTTCAATGGTAAAGTTCAAATTATTAGTCTCCATATCATAGGAGTGAATGTTAGTTTGATCACAATTATCTTGTTCATCAATTTTGAGATAATTATCAGCAAGAACAGACTTGGAAGAAGTAGTTTCAGCACTGACAAAATCATCAGAACATGGGATCTCAAAACTGGTAGCATTGTCCAAGGTATTATTATCATCAAGAAAAATTATCTCTGAGCTTTCGATATTGTCAGAAGAAATAAAGTCGGGAGAAGCAGTCTCATCATCTTTATTAACATTTGCCAAGGTGACTTCTTTACCAATTCTCCAATTATATTCTATCTTTTTAAGTATGTTTAGTTTATGACTAAATTCACTGTTACTTGTGAGACTCAGTAAATTAACTAATGAACTAGTAACAAGATTTGCAGCTTTCCTTTTTTCAGTTAGGGTCATTATCTTTGGTTTTTTACTCATTGCACATGAAATTTGAGTATCAGTGTTAGAACTCATGATACCAATTCTCTGTTTAGATAAATAATATTTTTTTGTCCATCTCACATGGCATAATTTTTCTGAAAATAAGGACAACTTTTTGTGTGCTCTTACTCCTAATATATGTCGACATGGCAGCATCATAGAAGCAAAATCAACACACTGACAACTTTCAGCAGTAACAGTAATATTTCCATTTGCAGATGACAATACAAAATCTCCGTGATTACCTTCATTTAAAATTTGTATTTTTTTTCTTAAATTCATCTCTTGAAGGACATAGTTGAAAGCATAATTTGTTAAGAATCCTGAATAAAGCATCATGTCTTCTTCATATTCTTTAAACTGTAGTAAAGGTTTCTTTAATATATGGTTAGCTGCTTTATTATCACGCTCTTGATTATTAGTATCAAGAAAAATAAAAAAGCTCTTTATAAAATCGATTAGAGTAGAATTCTTTGACACAACTTGCTTAATTTTATTATTAATTGATTCCATCCGGTTATTTGTTGTATTCTTTAAGTTGACATTCGTCATATTGAAAACAAGCCATTCATTACTTATATTATGCCAATTTTTATCAAAATAACTTGACACACTTTGGGAGACACATTCCTTAAATTGAGTATACAAAACAATATATTCAGTCTCGTTTCTACTATAAATTAACTTTTGTAAGTACTCTAAGGATAAATCTCTTTCTTGTTTGGAAATATTTAATTTCTCGCAATTTACTTCTCGTCTGAAAGTCTTTAAAGTATGAAAAAGGCACAAAAATACTGGTATCCCAGGAAAAACCTTCCTTATCACATCACGCTCTAACAAATCTTTATCTCCCATAAAGCATTTTATGTTATCAGTATCCATATTTTTTTTTATTGTGGTAAAGAGCCAATTGTAAGTATCACTATCTTCAACTGCAAGAAGAGATACATTAACAACCTCTGACTGACCGTTAGAATCCTCAACCAAGCATAAAAAAACTGTACAACCAATATCAAGCAATTTGTATGTCCCGTCAATGCTGATAAATTCTGGCCATGCACTCATAGCTTTTCTCATATTTTCAGTGGTAAACTGTAGAGCTTTGAAATTTTTTTCTTCATCACAAAGAATGTCAACATTGCATTCTGAAAAAAAAAATGTACTTAAGCAAAATAATTTATTTTGACAAATAAACATATATTATTTACTATATTTATCTTTTAGAATTATCACAGCTTCTTCTAAATCATTTTTCTTAATTTTTGACCTATAGTTAATATTGTGCAAGTCTTTTAGGGTTGCTTTTTTGCCAGTATCCAATAATATTTTGTTTTGAATTTTTTTTTGTTAGCGTTCAAAGATAAGTGTGTTTCCACTTGCTCTAGTTCACTTCCATCTAATTGTCGATTTTGATGTAGATGATCAAAAACATCCTATTGCATAAAACATATTACATTAGGTAGGTATATAATCATAATTTTTGCTATAACTTACTACAGAATGATCGTCCTTTGTGATATAAATTTGTGCTTCGGATTTGTAAAAACTCTCCTGAAGGACATACACGTAATTTAAAGTTAGCTTCACAGCCCATTCGTAGTGTACTGTAATTTCAATAAAATTTATTCCATAATATGTCAGAACAAAATCATGCTACTTGTTTACCTTGTACGTCTTAATCCATTACCTCTCTTAGGGCGGGATTTTTCATGTATACACGCATATTCAACTTCATAAAATTGCAGTGACTGCTTCAATGATCTTTTAAGACCCTTTTCTGCATTAGTAATACTCCGACTTATTTTTTTTTTATAAAACTTTTGCTTCTGGGAAGCTTCATATTTTTTTAGATGGTCTTTTAATTCTTGATAAGACGAGAATTTTTGACCCAAATAAATGTCTACACCAACATCTGACATTTGATTGTTTATACCACCTGCAAAATAATGGTAAATTTTATTCTTTCCTTATGATTATAATAAACACTTGCCTGTATGTTCAATGCCTGTATCATCCATTAGGTATTAAAAGTTAAAGACTAAAGACCCACCCGACAATAATAAATAAATAAAGACTGCCGTTATAATTAAATTAAAATAGTTTTTAGGTTAGGTTATACTCTCACAAACAGGAAACAAACAATAAAAACACACAGCTGATCGAGTTTAGCGTGCCTCCAATAGTAAAATTAGCGGCACGTTAGCGTGCCCCGAGTCACGGCGTTTTTTTTTTATCTTTAAATAGAGCAAAAATGTAATATAACCTAACTTTATATCAATTACACTATCAATTTAATTAGAAATTAATTGAATAATACCTACCAATAATTACTAAAAAGACCTCTTGGTGTATAGAAATAATATTACAATTTTAAGATAAATATATATTTATAAAGTTCTAAGCACTATCAGGAAGATATTAAAATAACTTAAAAATTTAACTTTCAAGACATAGGCAAAATACAAATTTGCTTCGAAAATGGCGTCGTGCGCAAGATTGACCGAATTTCGTACCGCTAACCGCTTTACCTGTATTTTTCCACCATGACTAGAATGACATACTGCAGTTTACCTCCGAAATACTGAATATTTCAAAACCCTAATTTTAGGACATTCTGCAATTGCCCCAAATACAAGGAGTTCTATTATCACCACAACCTCGTCGTCAAAACAGCAAAAAAAATCTAGATTCAGAAAATATTGCGATAAATGAAGTAAGTAATAATAGAAAGTGTTTTCCATTAGGAGCGCCATTTTTGGCTATAATTATACTTGACACTTTTACATTTAAGATATCAAGATATATTGACATTTGGAATCTACTATAATTTGTAATTTATCAAATAGAAACATGCCACACATCCACTGACACAATGGATTTATTGAGAAAAAAAAAATTGAATGTGTCTGAAATGGTGATGTTAATTGGCCACCAAGATCATCTGATTTGACTCCGTTTGACTTTTTCCTTTGGGCTATATGAAAAATCAGGTTTACAGAAACAATCCACAAACGATTTCTGATTTGGCTATCTATAAGGCAGCAAGCGGTGGCCATTTTTCAGATATTTTTTACATTAATTGAAAAACCTTTAACTTTCATTTTCAATAAAAATTTGAATAATAAAACATTGTGTCCATAATGGAAAACCTTTACTTTATGAAAATAAATTAATTTGCATTTATTTATTTTTTAAATGGAAATTTCAGAGTCTTGAAGATTCCATAGTCGAAACAGATGATATTGAAAACGACCCAGATTGGAGGAAAACACCCTTGGGAAAGAGAATTCTTGAAGAAAGGCGAAAATTCAGCCGTGTCGCATTAGGTGAGTACAACAAAAAATATTTATTGCACATTTTAATACTTTCTGCATTTTGAATTCGAGATATTCCCACATTATCGAGACTGACGGGTAAAGTAGTAGCATAAAATAAACTAGAATTGATTTGATTTTGAACAAAAGACGATGTGAAATATTAAAATGTTGAATTTGCAGGTTTGTGAAGCATTGGCATTATTTGACTAAACCAGACTTCATAATTAACAGACCTCAATAATTTAGAATGTGTCTTTTTATATTTTAAAGGCTCTTTATTTATTTAATTTATGTTAGTGTGTCTGTCAATAAGTATTTTAACTTAGACAATAAATACATACATTGCCAAAATTCTTGGACCCCTTATGTTTGTCAAAATGAGACACTATTATTAAAAGTCAAGAAGTGTGTTACATAGTACATTTAATTTGGTTATGTGTCCAATACAAATTGGCTAAATTAAACTTTAACTGAACAAGAAAAAAATACAAACGAAAAATAGTGCATAATAAAATAATTACTAGAATTTGAAATCCAGAAGAAAACCACTTTAGAGCGAACTAAAAAATTCATTAATATTCAGTGTGTCCTTCCTTGTTCCGTAGTAAGGTATTCACTCGCCTGTGCATGGAAACAAGGGTGTTAATGTAATCCATTGGGATGTTGTTCCATTCTTCTTGAGCCGCTACTGTGAGTTCCTGGAGGGTCATAGAAGGATTAATTATTCTGTTTGAGATTGCTCGTCCAATGAAATCCCACATGTCCTCAACGGGACTCATATCTGGCGAATTTGCTGGCCACTGTAATCTTTGAATATTCTGAATTTCTAGTGCATTTTGTACCCTTCTCGTGCGATGGGGCCTAGCCTTGTCATCCATGAAAATAAAATTGGCACCAATTTCATTTCGGAGAAGATAAATAATAGGTTCAATAATGTTTCAAACATATCTATCAGCTGTTATAGTGTCTGAAATGAGAATACGCTGCATACGATGACCATGCATTATGCCTCCCCAAAACATTATTGTTCCTCCTTGGTAAGGAACGACTTATCTGGCAAAATATAGTCTTTCTGGTCGCCCTGGCCCTCTCCAAACTCTGTGTCACTATCACTAATTAAACCATATTTGGTTTCGTCCGAAAAAAGCACATTGCCACTGAGCTGAAAGCCAGTCTCTGTGTTCCTGTAGACGAGCAGCTATATGTTTGAGAAGTAACCTGGGTACTCTTAATGGTCTCCTAGATCGTAAATTGTCTCCAGCAAAACTCCTCCGTATTGTGGTACTGGAATGAATCGACCATACGTTCTTCTAAAATGAGTTCAGACAGCTGAGACTGTTACAGTTCGATTCCGACGTACATAACCTGCTACATACCGATATCCGAGAATACCGATCAAGGAGAAGCGACACTAGCTGTCGGTGCCTTTGATATCGGATGTACCTTTTTCACAGTATGACTTTGACTGATACACAACTTAGCACGCTGAAAAAACATGCTTATTTTCTACACTGAGCGAAATAGTTTGGCAAATTATCTGAAATTATTGTTATAGTCCATGCGCAAATGTTGCAATGTGATTTAATTACATTGAAGTAGTTAGGGTTAATAGCAATGCTGAAATTTCGGCACCAAAATATAATTCATTATGTAATAATTATTTATTATAAAAGTAAAAGACGTTTATTATTTTATAATTTATCTATAAAATTTGTTCAATATTTGGTTTATTTATTGTTAAAAATGTAATAAAAGCCTCATATTTAAATTAAATTACATTTTCCTTAAGGTTTATCTTACCCGACCAAAAAATTAATGTTATGTTCAAAAATTTTAAAAAAATTCACTTAACTTACTCATCAAATAAGTAACTAATGGACAAATTTTGAAAAAAATTTGGTAAGCCGTTTTTGAGAAAAAAAAATGTTTTGTTCAAAAATTCAAGTATGTAAAAAAGTTATCTTTTATCAGATTTTTTTCAAAATTGTTCTATGCGATCTCTATGTCATTGTTATACTGGGAGAATTTTTCTAAAATTTTTAAACTTACAGTTTTTTTATAAATAATAATATTATTATTATTTCACAATAAATTATCGTTAAAACTTTTATAAACGTACAAAATTAGTCTATTTCCTGTTATTATAACTTTTTGTTGCTTTACACACTACCTAAGATTTATTCTAAACACTGAATAATCGTAAAAAGCGAATAAAAATGTTTTAATTTATTAAATATTTTTAAATTTGGAACCTAAAACATTAGTCCAGTTGGTGCTGCTAGGAATATATATTGAATTAACGTTTCTGAATCTACCCACTTGGATGTATCGTGACCGGCGAAATTTTTACGATGTTGCCAAATCGAATTACATATCAGAGAATATATGATATTACAGAATGGTTAATATAACAGCAAACATAATAATTAATTATGGGATTATTTATTGATTATACGGATATCCGACGACAAAGAACATTGTTAATAGACATGTTCAATTTTTTGTAAAAAATAAATTATATTTATGTTTTAAATATTTATTCCATAACAACTGTACATATTCTTTAATATGTATAATATATAAAAATGTACAATGTTTAAAAGTTGTGACAATTAGATAAACGCATTACAACGCGAAATCGTTTTGAGACAATCAAAAACAAACTTGTTTTTTATGTCTATTAGATAGAGAGTCCCTATTATGCGTAGCCGTTATCTGTTTTACAGACAACAGTGTAGCTTAATTATTTATGTACATTGATGAATTATGAGGAATCGAAGAAAAAAAATGGAGAACTGTCATTAAATCCACGAACAACTGACTGTTACAAATAATAATGGAAGGCGGGACGTGATTGTCGTATGTAGGTATGCAAACGCTCATAGAAAAAAAAAGGAAATTTGGCAATTTTATTGTGATACATAGAGTGCGTTAACACATGAATCCTTTGAAATAAAGATGAGCCACTTAATTATATTTGCATTTGAAAAAAAAAAAAAAAAAATAAGGAGAGATTCTCGTAAATCGGCTCACTGCCTGCCGTGATTAGACGCATCGTTACACCTCTGTCACTAGTGGGCTGGCGCGGACTGTTCTACCTCTGTCAAAAAAATAGCATCGCTTATTATATACCGTTCTTTAAGTGCATTTATGGAAAAGTTAACATATTGTATGTACGAGCAAATATATTATACCCGAAAGTTTATTTTTAAGTTCTAATTATGTAGGTATGAGCGCGTACTAATAATTAAAATTACAAACAAAATATACAATTAAATAAAATTCAAATTGTTAAAAAAAATACATATTTTATGATCACGCTTAACAAGCAAAACATGCTGCAACGTTTTATAATTATTTATAACTAAATTGCTTACATAATTTAATTTAACGCATGAAAATTGTTTTTCAGACTATTTTAAATCAGCAACGTTAAACATTTCATTTTCTTATTATATCTATCACTAAAAATACCAGAAACCATTTAATATTTTACAATCAACAAATTTAAATTTACTTTTTAAGAGAATTATACCTAATAAATACATAAAAACTACTGAAAAAGTATGGAATAGATAAAAAATTATAATATAACTCTCTTCATTTAGTAGAACACTAGTGCAATCCTATCCTTACTGTAACTAAAAGTATACCTAAATTAAAACATATATAGTCGAATTATAACAAAATAGTAAAGATTTATGCTATTTTTATTCAGTAACATTTCTAAGTGGCATATTTCTTTCGTGTCTACTATCTACTAACTCTACGGCAAAGTGATTAAAATAAAAATCCTTTAATTTTTTCAACATATTCGTTACGAATATGTGAGGAAAAACTCTTCCTCTGGAATGGTAAGAAAACGAGTTTAATTTTTCATATATATTTGTTATTACCAAGTTTTATGTTTCATTAATTAGTTATAGCCAGCGCATATATAATTTTTACACTTTATTAGTAAACTCAAAGTAGGTAAAGTAAAAAATTACGGCAATTTGACCGTCGAAATTTTAAAATATAAGTCAAGAAAGGTAAAGTAATATTTTCTCGTGTTTCTTGTTTTCTTTTGAATCGTACTGTATAAGCTTTATAAACTACCTATATATCATAAAATATAAGTCGAGAAAAGAAAAAAATAACGTTTTTCCTCTTTTTTTAATCATACTGTGTATGGTTTATAAACTATATATTTAAAATTATGACTCCAGTCAGCTGATTGGCCTGATTCATAAAAATAATTAAAAAGTTCTTTATTTGATGTTTGTCTCTTAATATTTTGTTTCACAATATTTTGATTCGATGTTTTGTAATAATTTAAAATTATGCGAATTTTGTCACACACCGTGTTTGTTTGAATATTGAAAAAATTCTAGATCTATAGATTTTTAACCTTTAATAATATATTTCTATGACCGAACGTTATACATATATAAATAATAAATAATATCTTAAAAACTTACAAATCAGTTTTTCGTAAATTCCAACCCCGACGAGATTTTTTCGGAAATAATCGGGGCATTTTATATGCGTTCTTAATAACTTTTAACAACTAAAATATAAAATAAATGTCCAAAACTTAAAACACTAATAATTTATATTGGTTAATATGGGAAAAAAATTATTTCACAAGAAGTTATCTTTTTAAAAATTAAGTCTGATATAAATTAAAGCAAAAAACGAACTGACTAATGAATTTAGATATTCCATGGCGTATGCACCCAAAGACTGTTTGTTTATATTACCAACATAAAAATCACTTCACAGTAAGATTATCACATTCCAGATTGGGAAGTAGGTGCCAGTTTTAAAACCGTATGTAAGCAGTATTAAAATAACCGAAAATACTTATTGGTAAAGTTTTTAAAATATAATATATGTATATTTCAAAAGTAAAATTCTCCTTGAAATCATATTACAAAATAAAAATAATATTTTTCTCTGTATCTTGAATTTTGCTCAGTCTGGCTGTGTACACCGTACAAACTACTAATCATATAAATTTAAACGTAACCCAGCTGAATAGTTAACCGATTAGGCCGATGTACGTATTTTATATACAAAATTGATTTGGTCCAGCATCGAAAAGGTTTCATTGTGAATCTACGGTACGCTCGTCAAAATGCTGACATTGCCCTAGTGTCTTTTAATTATCTCTCTTATTATTTTAGATAAAATTATGATTTTACAATCGTTAGAATCCTTAAGTTTTTCTCTAGTAATAAACAAGAATACATTTTTACAAATTTTTGCACAGTTTTTATGATATCGGCGTATATAAATAAAAAATCGGTAAAATATTATTTCTCTTAATATAATTTTTACTTTAGAAACATATATATTAAACTTTCTTTTTGAGAATAACTCGTTTTCCTTGGACGATTTTTAGACAACCTAAGCCATTTAAATCTAAAAATCAAAAACTACTATTTCGAGAACTAACACAATAATTATTGTATCTATAAAATGCCAAAGAAAATCTAAACTACGCGATTTGCACCCTCCGCCACTTAACAATATTTACGTGACAACTGGAACAGTAGATACCTCTGTGTATATACTTGGCAACAACGTATATTGTTCCGTCTCTGTAATAGCTATATCAAGTGTTGCCCTCTTTTGCTTCACGCACCAACTCTAATTAGCAATATTTGTAGTTACAGAAAACTATAATGTTTAGCGCCAGTTTTCAACAATTTTTGTGCTATCGTAACTCCATCTTGCGTTAGCGAAACGTAACTTTTGTAGGGTAATATAAATCTTAACTAAAAATAAGGTAAATAAAATTATGGGTGTCAAAAAAAATTTTTGGTAACAATTAAAAAGACATTAAGTTTGAGAGGTTTAACTAAATATTTGCAATGTGCATATATTTTCAAAGCTTTTAGGTTTAAAAAGTACTTACATATTTTTAGAATTTCTAGATTTATATTATATTAAAAGGAATTTCAAGTTTATCACTCATTTCTGTAGAAACAAGTTAAACCAGATGTCATTTAAGGTTTATGTATTTAGAGTTAAATACCTGGCCTGGCTATTACCCAGACAGTACAAATATATCCATTCGATATACAATTTTGGATGTCTAGACGTCCAAAATTGAGTTTTCTGGACTTCCGACATCCAGTGGACGACCAGTGAAGTATACAAATGGCACACTTTTGAGCATTCAGAGGACGTCCAATTCTGGAAAATATTTGGACGTCGAATACTGGACATTCAAAAAACGTCCAGGATTATATTTCCATTGAGACCACATCCCCACTTTTTTACAGAGCCGCAACTCACCACACATTATTTTATATTATTAATAATTTGTTTATTATTTTCGCAAATCGCAATACACCATTTATTTATTTTTTATTAAAAATCGCTTGACCTGAGCAGGCATGGAACTCACGACACATCCATTATCGTTTTACGCTTCCAATCGCTAGACGAGCTCGACCAAGGAACCACTTGAAAACTTTTTACTAGATACAGTTATAATTGAATTAGATTTCAAACTTCCGCTGAAATGCAATAGATTCAATTTGTCAATTTTTAGTGACCAGTTATATTAAAAATAAGAAGTATATATAGATGGGTATTATCTGGTAGGCTTAATAAATAATGACCTAAGATGGACGTCAACTGGACGTCAAAATACTACTGAACTTAAAATTAAGTCCAAAAACAGACGTTCTCTGGGCATCGATATTCAGCTTTCAATTTAATTAGCATAAACGGACGTACACTGGATGCCCTGACCCTCAAATAGATCTAAAGTGGACGTCCATTGGACTATGTGTGCATAGACGAATTTTTAGAAATAGTACTTATTTAAGTATGCATCAATATTTCCAAAATTAACTCCAGTATGATTCATTCAATAAATGTAAATATGAATGGGCAAAACATCTTTATATTGACATAATTGTAACTTACAATTTAGCCATAATAAAGGGATTTTGCCCACTTTGACCAATCCTAATTGAAATACGCGAATTTATTATATTTTTTTAAATATAATTTCAAAATAAAATAAACAAAATCTGCAGTTCATTGTTTATTAAATTTATTTAAAAGAAGAAAAACATATTTCACAAAATACAATACCTACATATGAAAAATAAAATGTCAAAAATGATTAAATCATTATACTTAATATTTATGCATGTGATAAAATTCTTAATTTCCTAATAACTTTTTTGGCACATTTTATATTTGTATTAGAATACCTAAGTGTGTAAAAATCTTCATCTTATTACTACACAAAACAAACACCAAAAAATATCACTTAACATTGCTCACGTACTAAACACAACTTGGACTGACTTTGACAGATAACATAATTTTGAGTGATACACAACTTATTTTCGCACATGCGCGTTACAAACCGGTACACTGAAAACACCAAGCTGTCGCTTCTCTTTGATCGGTATTCTCGGCCGATATTCTCTTGGATTAATTACCCTAGGACGCCCAGTCCCACGTCTATAGTCAACGCTGTTAGTTTCCTGGTACAAAGCACTATTTGGATAACTGAAGCGCGGGAATCCCTAGTCTATCTGCGATTCGATGATTCGGCAGACCCTCACCATGCAAAGCCACTATTCTTACTCTATTGAACACTGAAATTCTATTGCCAGGCATAGTTGCAAAGAAAAACTCAACAATCACTTAAACACGCAAAATCGATATGAACCACTTTTTAAACATTGGTACCTAAAATTGTGGGAAATTGTTTCTGTAAACATTTTTAGATGCATATCTACGGTGAAAAAAATAAAGATTAAATGTACAAAAAAGCAGCCATGATAAATATTTTGTTTTAATATTTACGAGGGGGTCCAAGAATTTTGGCGATGTGTGTACATATTCTCTATCTCTCAATAGGGATTTATTTGTATTTTTTTTTATAGATTTCAATGATGACAAACCCAGTAAAAGATCATCAGATGGAGGATGCACCTGCAAAACCAAATGTTTAGCGCGTTGTAGTTGTAGAAAAATGGGCAGGAAGTGTTCAGCAGCTACGTGTAAATGTAAGGAGGGAGTCTGCGAAAACTATGAAGAGGTACTTACATTATTTTTACACTTAACTCTTATTACTACTTATATTTCTTTATTTCTTCATGATTATCACTTTTTTTGGATGAATTCATTTAATTCTATAGCGTTTGAAGCTAATAACTACAAATCTGATACAGGCCATAAAATAATTGACTATTCGCTCCGTGCGCGACCGCAGCGCCAATTCGTTTTGGTATTAATGGACTATTTCTGTGTATACTGACAAATACAATTTTTAATAGAATTCGTAATTAAAAAGTATATATGTTAGTTTTAATAAAAGTATATGGATTTGTAAAACAAGTAAAACATTAATTTATTATTATATATTTTTAACGCTTAAATTAAAGAAAATGATGTATAATCAATGAAAATCAATAATAAAATATAGGCAGGCAACAGTATTTACTGGAAAATGTATGAGAAGTTGCCTAAGTCTAATAAGTTGTCATTAAAGAATTAGCCTGTTGTCAAAATAAAAAAATACCATTTAGTAATAGCATGAAGTTAAAATGTATAAAAAAAGGATCGTTATTTATATTTTCATTTTTGTTCGAAAGAAAACAGAATGAATGATTAAAACTGGTTTCTCATCAGTAAGTCACAAAATTACATTCCATCCACATATTAATAATCAAAGGCAAAAATCTTGAAATCTAGTCCTTGCTGAATGAACATTTAAGAATAAAAGGACATTAAAGAACATCGTAAAATGATAATTTATTGTTTATTTAAAACCTTTCAAGTTTCTGATGTCTACTATTTACAGCATTACTGTTATTTTTACAAAAATACCCATTTATTTCTTTGATTTAATTTCCACTTTGTTACTGACATTTTTTATATAAGTTTCACTGTTTTTTTGCTAGTATTTGTACAATTGTCAATACAGCAACTCCGGTTGCTTATTGTATTGGCTGTACCTACTTTTTTGAAAAAAAAAGTAAAATGTATACGTGTATTTGATATGCCAAAATTACAAAATATCGCCCTAAAATGCACGAATTATCCGCAGCTAGCGCTAGTATCGCTTTTGCTTCCCTTTCCATGACTTCGCACGGAGCGAATAAGAAATACAGTACATATTTTTTCGTATTAGTATATAATTTAATAAAGTTAAGGTTTATATGGATCTACCTCCTCACGCGTTACTGACTCTAGAGATGGCTCTACATGTCGAATCAAATTTAGTACATAATTTATTAAAGTTACAGGGTTCTATCTGCGATACAATAATATTTCGTTAGTTTATATCGATGCCAAAAGAGACTGCTAGCACAATAATAGATTACGCGAGAGATCTTCATGATTCAATACGAAGAGCGTTGCCAAACTTCAATATAATTATATTTTATTTGTTTATATTGTAACCCGCGGGAGGTGAGGTGATGAGTGCGGACTGCCCAAGCGATCCAGCTAAGAGATGGATATGACCTGGTCCGTTCTAAACCATTCTAAACTATGAACTTTACTGACAATAGGAAATAAAATTATTTAGCGAGAGCGTATTATCCTTAAAATATGGTATACAATTAGTACATAATATAATCTATGTGGTTTGGCGAATGTACTAGTTCGCGCGGTCAAAAAATTGAAATAAAAAAAAAAACTGACTGTAGGATACGTTCGCGCGTTATGGTTAGGTACTATTTAATAATAAAATGAATATTAAATAATTTCAATGAAAACTATCCATAATTATAAAGGTGAGAAGACGAAAAAAAAAAAAAAAAATAGAAAGGAAAAAAGAAAGAACGTCAAAAAAAGCTCAAAACTCCAAACGATTCAATGTACACCTCAGGTATACATTTTTGAAATCGAATAGTATAAAAGAGTAGAAAAATGTGATAGTATACAGGGTAACTAATGTGTACCTTAAAGATAAAAAAATGACTCAAAATCATTTCCACATAAATTATTTTATGAAGTTAAATAACAACAGGTTTAGGGATTAGGCTTAAGTAATAAGCGCCTACAATATAATATGACGTCTCCATAAAATATATATAAAAAAAAAAATACACGTGTATGATTAAAAAGGCAGTTGTAAGAAATACCATATGTGGGAAATGTGATAGAAATTGTACAAGTTGAAAAGGTATATGTAAAGAAACTTATACGCTAACACTATTCTTCTGCATATTCCCACATTTATAAATGTTCCACATATGATATTTCTTACAACTACCTTACCCTTGTTGGAGCTCGGTTTTAATCATGCACGTGTATTCTTTTAACCTTTTTATGGACGGGGGTCGGATTCCATGTAAATAGTTGGTAACAAGTTTGCTTGACCTCGACAGTAGCGCGCTAAGCGCTTACGGTTGAACTACACCTGCCAGTTTCAGTCGATAAAGTAGAACACTACTAATTAAAGCGATTTAAAAATTGGCGGGCTTGATAATTTAGATATTTGAAGCAATTTGAAGTAACATTTTCCTATTTGACCACTTTTACTTACAACTACTAAACAAACAATAAGTTTAGTGAATTTTTGTTGTAGGTAAATGTTGAAAAATGGAAAATGTCACTTGTTTTAACTGAAAAATAAAATTAGTTGAAAAATAAAACACATTTTTAACAAGTTTAATTTATTTAGAATTACCATGTAATTACATGTGTCTCATTATCTTCTAACTGCATATTTTGAACATAACAAGCACTATATCACACACTAAATTACTGAAAAATAAAAATATAATATCGCACACCCCATTCAAAGCCGTATTAAGTCAAAAATGTGAAATTTTACAGGAGAAGCAAAACAAAATTTTGATACATTGTTTTTTTTATTTTGCATTCAATATTAGACTTAGATATATCATGCTTTGTTTTTATTTGACTGAGTATGCTTTCAAAACCACACTCTAAAAAAAAATCCTCCATTTTTCCTAGAAGTCTCAAAAGTTAAGTTTGATTTCAGATGATACACTTTTCTCACAAAATATTCAAATACTTTTTGTGTTGAGTTTTATAAGTTCTTTATTTTCTATGCATAATATTGATTATGATAATAAACTGAAAAGAAATTGCTACATTTTCTTAAAAAATATGAGAAATAATACAAATTTCTTGAAACAAAACAAATATATTTCTAAAAAAGAACGTAAAAAAAAATAAAATCTTGGAGACTAGCTACCAATTTAATACTAATTAGTTATTGATTAACAAAAAATAAGTAATTAAAGCAACAGTCAACTAACATAACTAAAATAATGATTCGTAAAAGCCTTTATAATAGTTTGGTATAAAAATTTTTTCCAATAGAAATTTCAAATCTTTTTTTTTATTTTCATTAATTGTAAGCTTTCTTCAGAGTTGGCAAGGTGTTGAACCGAGTGCTTGCAGATTCTGAGCGTCTGGTAGTTTTTTTCACCATTGCATTTCCACGAACATCCACCGATTTCCATTCATCAGATTCTGTATACGACATTTTGTAAAAAAAACAGAAATGGCTGGTTTTTCTCAACTCTCACAATTCGAAGGTTACTAATAAAGACTTGCTCTCCCTTGGTATTTACATTAAAATTTATCCCAGTATCAGCCATAAGCTGCTTCACATCGATAAAATCGTCGTGTGATAATTCTTTCACAAAATATGGGGATCCTTTTTTCTTTGCTACTCTTATCAACATTACAAACTGATCAGGAACAAAGATAGGTCCTGATTTTAATGCTCTGGCCACCTGAAATTTAAGAAACAAATGAAAGCTAATGGAATAGCAGCATCATAATACTGGATAAGCCAATTTCCCGCACGATGTCATTCGATGATAGTTTTGACAGGTGCTTATGGCGTTCTACATTGGGCAGGTAAAATATTTTATTGTTGCCGAATGATGTTATGCAATGAGCTGGGAGATTCTAAAATCACGATTCAATACACGATTCGATAACGAAAGGTAATTCGATATCGGCATTGTTATCTAGACAGATGTGCAAAAGTAGTGAATTTAGAATTACTAGAATCGTCTAATCGATAACGACTTGTATCGAATCGTGATTTTAGAATCCCACCCGAGGTCAGCTTACCTTATGAAATTTTTAGAAGTAGGGAAAAGCTGAGGGAAGGTAAAACTTATTTAACCTAATAATGATTAATGAGAAAAAATTGAATTACCTGTTTTTCAATGGGTGGCATCTCCCTCGTTTTGTGTATGTCCAACAATGAGGTATTTATGGGTAACTGCCTTAATTTTATATTTCTGTACCGCATACATAAGAAGTGCTATCAAGTATCTGGAACAAATTGGAATAAATCTTATACCTAAATTATTGAATGAATATATTTCTTTACCTATTTTTTTGTTGTGCTCCACAATTGTCGTTGTAAAGAACTATTTCTAGTTCTTCACTGTCGCATTTGCTTGCTTTTTCTTCCAAGTATTTCAAAATGCAAGACCCTACTTCTGTGGCCCCTTTTCCTCCTTCGCCTTCATGCCAAACATAGCACCAGGTTGCATCATTCCCAATTTCAGTAACTGACAAGTTCATTGTGTTAAGCTTTGATTTATAATAAAAAATTGAGATATCCCCCTTTGGAATTGGTAGGACAGCTTGCATGTCAAAGCAAGCCACAATAAAGTTTTGATTTACTTTGGCTTTATCTTCTTCCTTATCCTTTCTCGATAATACTTTTTCCTTTTAAATGTTCATCATACTGCAACTTCAAGTTTTCTTTGCCTTTTTCATTAGCGGTATTGTATTGAAAACAAAGGCTACATTGGTCCTTTTTGGGAATAAAAAACGAAATGTTAAATTCTGTGTTGAAAATATCTGCGTACATGTGATAATTAACTGTCGCCTTGCCTTTAGCCTCACATGCAAGTTTGTAGTCTCTATAGAGGTCGGCAATGGTTTTGCTACCATCAATAAATTCTCTTGATGTCTGTGCCCGAAGGTAATGGCTTTCAATTCTTGGAATTGATTGAATATGCTCCCTGACATAATTTTTCAAATTAACGCTTATTTTTTTATGGTTTTTATGTTTTCCTCTTCCATCTG